TGTAATTAGGAATGGCTCTATGAGGATCCAGGCTTTGTGTAGAGGTACAATACTATAAATGAATAAAGAAAGTGGTTATGGGCCCAGTCAAGAAAAAAAGCAGGAAATAAGTGGGCCCACATGCCCTTGGGTCCCCTTATACCAAAGAGTAGACATGATGCCAATTGGATAGTGAAAACATATATAGAGACCCACAAATGTCTTCAATCGAGATATGTTAGGGCTTGTACAACTAGTTTCATAATCAAATAAATATCCCAATAACGTGTAATAATACTCCAAAGCACCCTATAGTGATAAGTTCGACTAATTCAAATAAAATAAGATCTAAACAAAATAGTAATACTAAAAATAATAATAAATAAATCCTTTTCCTATTAATCACTAACGAGGCTTGACGTCCTAAGGAATGTCGACATGAAAAGTGGGAGATGGCTAGACTAAGCGCCACTTGGATCCAACCCTACTCTCGCAAGTGCTAGTCGATTCCTCCGGATCGAGTGAGTGTTCACGATGGATGCATCCCGGTTCAGGTCCACAACGAGCATCAGATACGGTATCCGAGTCCTCATCCTCCTCGGGTAACTCCTCCTGGGGTTCCTCGGACGGGTCATCCTCCGTCGGCTCCTTGGAAGGCTCTTCCTTGTTCTCCTCCTCCATAGGTTGTTCCTCGTTCTCCTCCTCCGAGGGCTCTTCCTCGTTCCCCTCCTCCGAGGGATATTCCTCTGATGACTCTGATGATTCCTCAAAGTGTTTCGGTAAAAGAGTGAAGGTAAACTTTCGACCTGGTGTGATTCGCTTACGAGTCGTTACCTTGAACAATGCTCCATTACCGTTAAGTCGCGCGCCTTTGAGGTTCCGGACCCAAGTGGTGGAGGGATGACGGTTGACGGGTACTTGGTAGGTGCCATGGCTAAAGAAATGGCCAGTCATAATAGAAACAAAGCTGAGTGTTTCACTAAGTGCACATAAATAAAACAACTTCTTGCTATTGTTAAGAGTCTATGAGTAATACACACGTACGTAAATGCACACATAGTTCCTACCATGCATAATACATGTGGGTTCTTAGGTTATAGTCTTGGTCAATCCACCTAATTCTCTATAACCAGGCTATGATACCAATCTGTCACACCCCGCCTAGGCGGAAACGCGAAGTGTGACGGAGAGGATTGTCATAACACAATGATATGATAATAGAGAACTCAATAAATGAATACTAATCCAAGTGTCATGACGTCTCTTCCTCGTCACAAGTGGAGACTTGTACCATGGTTAGACAATTCCATGGCATCACATAGTCAACAATTTCAAACAAAGTACTTAGCCACAAGCAAAAAAAAAAACCACGCGTGGAATCTCTTAGGTCTCTCTAAGGTCCACAAGCAACCCTAGCACTCAAAATTCGTATTTTAACTCCATGTTATGACTGAGATA